TGTGTGTGTGTTTGTGTGTGCGCGCGTGTGTGTCTGAGAGAGAGAGAGAGAGAGAGAGTGTGTGAAGGGAGAGGGAGTGTGTGTGTGTGTGTGTGTGTGTAAGAGTGTGTGTGTGTGTGAGAGAGAGAGAGAGAGAGAGAGAGAGAGAGAGATACAGTGTCTGAGAGAGAGAGAAAGAGAGAGAGAGGGAGAGGGAGAGAGAAAGAGTGGGGGAGAGATGGAGTGAGACATACACTGAGAGATGTACTCCGATAAAGCTAGAGTTAAAATGAAGTGGAGAGAGTGGAGAGAGTAGAGAGAGAAAGAGAGAGAGAGAGAGAGAGAGAAAGAGAGAGAGAGAGAGAAGAGAAGAGAGAGAGAGAGAGAGAGAGGGGGGGGAGAGGGAGAAGAGGGGAGAGGAGGTTGACGTGCATAATGAGAGATAGAGAAGATAAATGGCATACTTGCAAAACTGTATAAAAAACTGAATGCTTTAATACCAAGTATTGAATATGTTTTCCATGGAAACAGCGGTACGTTTGTGATTAGGTTTGAAAAAAAGAGGAACGTAGCAGTGTGTGTTAAGTGGCTGAATACAACAATTCTGATCTAATTAAAACAAACAACAACAACAACAACAACAACAACAACAACAACAACAACAACAACAACAACAGCAGCAGCAAAACTAGTCGGACAGTAAGATTATTAATCTGCGTTGGAAAGTTGTAGTTCATGTTTGGCTTTAGTATATGTGTGAGGTAGCGTGGTGGAATCAGGCTCTAGTCAATTTTTGGGCATGTAGAGTTATTGGTATCATCTTAAAACTTGTCTTTATATAGATGAAACAAATATCCATTTATCTTGAATACAAGTCGAGATATTTGCGAAAGAAGGAGGTGGGGTTCACCTACTTTCAGAGGTAAAATATGAGAGAAAATGGCCGCCAAAGATTAGTTATTTCCTTAGCTAAAGAGTCCATTTTGTATCAACGTTTTTCAGAAAAATCCTCACATAAATGAGTTCTTTAATGGATCTGAAAGGTGCTGAGACCAAAAAAAATTGAAAAAAAATTCACAAACCTGCAGAAAAATGCAAGTTTCTTCACTTTGATTATTTTGACGAGAGCCTGATTCCACCACGCTGCTTCACATATTGTATCGTCTCACAAAAGGATACTCGTACAATTAGTTCTCATCAAGAAGGTTCCCTTTCTTAAAATAAAAAACAAACAAATCGACAACAAAAGTGTCCCATGCACTCAGCGTACATAGTTGTGCCACTGGTGTTGATTAAAAAAACAACAACAAAAAACAACAACACCCCAACATGTCGTTTAGTTCATCAAATCCCAAATAGTTCATATTGAAAAACTTGAACTCGGTTTGTTGCTTGGCAGCGATCCTTATATTATGATAACCTTTAATCTCTTTAGTTTACTTTTAGTAGATGTTTTACGGCGCTCGCAGCTGCATGAGGTCATATGAGCGCCAGAAGATTAGAGGTGCTACAAGAGAGTAACAAACATAAAAAAGAAGAAGGGAAGAAGCAAACCACACCAGAGCACCCGCCAACCACCCACAACCTTTAATCTCTGGTTTTATTTTCAGAATCCAAGACGTCACGACCGGATATTACCTGAAAGTTTGACCTCAACTTTTATGATGACCAGCCGCTGCACAAGTCTGTTGTACTACTCTGACCAACACCCAAAAGTTACAACCCCCAGCGCTCCTCGCTCTTGGCCGTGCGCGTGAATTAAGCACGTGCATTGTCCAGGCCCGTGAGTACGGGCGGCAGGTGGGGGAGGAGAGAGTGAGGGAGAGGAGGGGTACTGAGGAGGGGAAAGGATGTCTCGTCGGAAGCAGTCGAACCCGAAGCCTATCAAACGTGAGTACATGGCCGTTTATTCTTGTCAGTCTTGTCAGCCGGGTGAGCAGCTGCTGTGTGGGGCGGGGTGGGGTGGGGTGTTCGTGGGGAGAGAGAGAGAGAGAGAGAGAGAGAGAGAGAGAGAGAGAGAGAGAGAGAGAGAGAAAGAGAGAGAGACACACAGAGGACAGAGAGAGAGAGAGACAGAGAGGTGTGGGTGTTGTGTGTGTGTGTGTGCGTGTGTGTGTGTGTGTGTAAGTTTGTGGGGGAGGGGAATTGGTGGAAGGAAGGAGAGAGAGAGAGTGTGTGTGGGTGTGTGTTCGTGATGTGTGTGTGTGTGTGTGTGTTTGTGTGTGTGTGTGTCTGTTTATGTGTGTGTGTGCGTGTGTGCGTTTATGTATGTATGTGAGTGTATGTGTGTGTGTGTGTACGTGTGTGCGTTTATGTATGTATGTGAGTATATGTGTGTGTGTGTACGTGTGTGCGTTTGTGACGCATAAGATTAGATGAGATAAGATAAAATGAGATAAGATACATTTTTAATGTCCAGAGGCCGCACATTCGTTTAGTGTTACACCTCATTTTGTGTGTGTAGTGTGTGTGTGTGTGTGTGTGTGTGTGTGTGTGTGTGTGTGTGTG